GTTTCAAAGAATATTCTAGCTTTGTATTCTAAGTTTCTAAGTGAGCATTCTTTTAAAATACTTTTGGGAATAGCAAGTTAAACCTTACATTCTATGTTTTCTTGTACCTTTGAATTCAGTTGATAAAAGTGCACAGGTATATTAAACTATTCTAAAACATTCGCACGTGCCCGCTGCCCATCCATAAACTAAACTATTTGACCTTGACCCAGTAATCAGTTTGCTGCCATACTCCAATTATGTTAGATGCAAGCCAGCGATTAATTTAAACGCCCTCGCCCACTTATCTATTAAATACATTACATATTAATTAGCTAGTTTACTCTGTTCCCGTACATTAATCCTGAGAGTAATTATAAAGATATCTTGTGCATATCCCCAACCTCTTTTGTGGCACAATGCCAAGTTCCTCTTTTCCAAAGAGGATGCAAGCATACAACCACTTCCTTACTTAAAGAAAGGTTTTACGCGAATACCATCTCTAGTCTAGGTAATTGGCGTCTTAAAATATTCGCGATTTAATTAAAAACTTGTAAAACCTTTTGTTTCTTTTTTGCTAGTCAATATCCTGTCAGACCTCTTATAATTACATTCTTGTAATATCAGCTAATTGTCAATTTTAAGCGGTTTCGTTACGTCTTTGATTTTCTGGTAATTGCAATGTCAGTCGTTTATCGTAGTCTTCCTGGTACAAAAGTAATATTTCCGATGTTCTCTGATCAATAACTCTGAAGTCCAACAAGTTTAACAGTTTTACATCGATGTTCGTTTATAATAACGCCAATTGGGCATCGGAAGAACTTGACTTGATTTGATTATCATTAATGGCTTTAAAGATTGTTTTTTCTCTGCGTTTAAAATAATATCTCTTGACTCTGTAGTTTTTATTTTATATATGAAAACTGTATCTTATGCTGAACAGAGCATTCTACCTTGTTAGTGTGCACAAGTTTGTAATTCAGAACCCAATTTTCGAGGCCAATTTTCGCAAGGCACCCCAAAACTGTTTACCGTTTTGTAACGCAACCCATTTGTGCATAAATGAAGGTGTTGCCAAATATTTGCATAATTTACACCCACTTGATTTTGTTATTAGGATATTTGTATTATTGAGCGATCCTTTGTGTCCTGTTTGATAAATTAACTCTTTCTATTGTACAGCACGATTTCGAAGTTTCGTGACAATATCCATTGAAAACGTGGCTACGATTGAAATAAATCATGTTCTAACGGCATAGGAAACATGAATGTTTCATTATGAACAATACAAAGCTTTATACTGTGACGGTAGCGCCATCTATGGCGGCAGTTTTGAAGCTTCGATATAATTGTGGTTATTATAAATCTTAGTTACTAATCAGTGTAAAGCCCGGTAATGTAGTGCTTTAATGAAATCTTGTGAAAGTTTTACGATCGGCTAATGAAATTGAAAGCCTCATGTTTCTGGATTAATTAGGTTTTAGTACATAAATCAAGCTGCACACTCGTATCTCGGTATCACGCTAAGCGAATAAAACTGATAGAAATAATTGAGTGAATATATTTTTTATTTACTTCTTTGGACGAATAGATTTTATGAAATGTTAGTATACCACTAGATCAAAGCAATGACTTTATAGTTTTTCAATTTCTGAACCAAATTGCATTATTTAGTTACTGCTATTCTATAAAGCAGTAAAATAGTAACGTTCACAAATATGACCCGTAGACGTATCGCCAAGCATATTTCCAATAACGGTGGTTTTTGCTTGCTTTATTTCGGTGATTCGTTCCACTTTCGTTGGGTCCGCCGAGCGTAACCATGGTGACGGTAGTGTGTTCAATATCTAAACTTCGTACAGCGAAATGGGGAACTGAATGAAGTAAGAATGTTTTTAAAAGAATTCTGTTGGATTAAAGGAGACATTCCGATGTTAGTTTTGTTTGTCAACTGTCTACCTGTCAGACTGTCGATAGAGACCATTTCTTTGAGTCGATCTCTATTATGGCTAACGATTTTATTTTTAGATGGGTACTTTTTTCTGTTATATTTTATTTGTTGAAAAAGAAAATCTAGGTTAGATATACGTATTATTCCAACGATTCCGCGGGTGGTTTTGACAAGAACAAAATATGTGTGTCTCACATGAATACCACGTGTTTGGTTTACTGTCTTAATTTGCATAACGATATATTATTTTGCGTCGTCAATTAAATAGTTTTGGTGTTTTCCATTATCCGAATTTGGATCACTCTGAACTCTATTGAGTATGAACGAGGGTCCCAAATTAATTGCAAAGCCCGGGATAGTTTTGGTTGGCCCTGAAAAGTTCCATGCTTACACATAGCTGAGGTGAAAGCATAAATTATTAGGATGACATTGCTGTGCACGTCTGCGGCATTCCGCTCGGATAATTTATTACCAGCTCAGTTGATGCGTACGACCTTATCACAATGGTCCGCGAACACAATGTAGGCATAATCTGTTCTGCGTACTCGGTTTTTGTTCGATTTTCATACAAAAAGTAGCTTTCCACGGGCATGTTTAGAGGTGACGATTGGTTTTTGTGTTCATTAGAATGAATCACTACAATTGATGATGTTCAAAAGGTATTTCTGAAACTTAATTTGCCTTTTAGTATTGATGTGTAACTGCGTGAGGTGGTAAGTACCTACGCTTAGTAGTTTCTTCCAGTTTACTTGATCCTGGAAGCCAAACAAATATTTTCTATCCGTAACAATATACGGTAAAGTGCACTAAACGATTCTCTGTTGTTGGTCACAGGTCGATGGCCTTGACCCGAAATACTTTAGCCTTTACATCATTCTGGTCATTAGCCTATTATCGAATAATAACTGCTTAACTATTTTTATGATAACTTTTATTGTATTTGTCAATCCTCGCACTGTGTCTTTAGAGTATATTTATAAATAACTAGCTGCCCGCCCCCGCTTCGCACGGGTCCAACTATCTCGCATTTCACTTACACGGGTCACTTTTTACTTAACTTCCCCTCTACTTTTCTAATATTTTCTCTGATAAGAACCTTCTCCTCACAATAACAAACACAACAAAAAAAGAATTAGCGAAATTGGTCCAGGCGTTGTTGAGTTATGCGCTTACCAACACATTTTGCGTTCCATTTTTATATATTAGAATATGTATATGGATATATGCATTATCCATATATTTATTTACTTTATCCTCAAGATTATGATTCTTATTTACTTGAATAAGGCAATAACTCGTTCTAAAGCACTCATAGATTTCCTTTAATGATTTTATTGATGACAAAATTGTAGATAACTTCAACTAAGGTATTATGTAGGCCTTCATCGAAAATGCCAATAATTTGTTCCGGAGAAGGTTTTTATTCGTTGTTTCCTCGAAGGGTATTGCTTCATATTTATATTAACGTGATATATTTTTTCGAAATGGTTTTGTTGGGTTGTTTTGCCCTGGGTAATGAAGGGGCGCGTCAGGATAGCAGGCAGTGGAAGGTCGGTGACCTTGTCCCGGCTATAATTAGCTTTTTGTTTGCTTTGACGTTCCACTGCCATTGTTGTCCATGTTCCAATTGAAGAGGATGCTGTACACTTGTTAAAATAAATTTATTCTATCGCCGAGTATTTTCAAATGATATTTCATTGTCAGACTGAAGTCTGTCCAATTTCTTCAATGCATTTTCAGCTGTGTTACAATAGTATAAAGCTATAAAGTTTATCGTTGAGATGTATTAAAACTTAGATAAAAGATACACGTGAATAATCTCTCGCGATATTATTTTCATTGGTATGTTTATATAACGTCGATATCGATATTGAGCGTGCCAAAATCCATGGCATTGAGTGACGGGCAACTCAATATTAACCTTAGTTCATATTCTGACGTGCGTAGTGAGTATTCCGTCTCAAGAGTATTATTCTTTGGGATTGATTTTTGATATCTATCAAATTGTTATTTCATGTACTTACGTAATTGATGTGTTTCGCCGCGTTAATGAGGTTACCGTCCAATCCCTCCGCAATCCCAAAATCTCTAATCGCCAAAAGGTCGGCGACGCAGTTGGAACTTTTCCGTTGTTTTCCATGGGCGGCGCCGATTGCTTACCATAAGGTAATCCATATGTTTGCCGTCCTATCACATTAATTTGAAAACTTTACTCCCCAGTGTATAGATATCAGATCAGAGATATCAAAACAAGGACTTCCTACGTTTTTACACATCGTGCAGCCACACAAGGTCGTTTGTTTAATGCGTCTAGTCACCCCCCCTTTTGTCGCAGGCGATCTGTCCCCCTGTTAGCATATACACTACGCAAACATGTGTATTGTACACACAGTTGTTGGTATTTAATTAAACTGTGACTTTACTGTTTCATTATCTTGTCAGTCTAAAGTAGCCATTCAGTAATTGAAAGAAAATATGTACCTACTTATTTGAAATTTGTCTGAACAAAATAAGATGATGCTAATATCATAGTAGCTAACATACAGTTTGGGATTTTTGTAACACTGCACAGTCATTTTATTTAAAAAAATTGTTAAATTATAATATCACGTTGAGACAGTAGAGTTCCAAAGTATACCCAGACGTCGAAAACTGCTTACGCAGCTTTCGGAGCGGCATCATAATCCGTGCGCCAAATGTGCTAGTAAGAATTTTCTAAGGAGAATTTATCATTTCTTTTGGTGATGTTTGTGTTAGAATATTACGACATATTCCAAGATTAGTTGTACATATTGCACATTACGTGTAATATGTTTATACTAAAAAATATATGTATTTGTTTGAACAGCCTTTGCAGAAGAGCAAACGTGTTCATTTAGATCTTAAGTTATTGTCACTGTCTGGGATTGAATATGAGATATTTTATAAATTCCAATACGTAGTTATAACTATTTTATCTACATACTTTCTTGAAAATGCAATCAGAATGTGTAACAAAAAATTACTATTAACTTGTGAGTTATTTCGTACCTAGAACCCTAAATTAATTGCAAAACATTGCCATTTCCAGGCCGGATCCATTCAGCGATCGTCTCCGGTATCAACTTGGAGACGAGGTCAGTTACAGTGGAATGGTACGAACGAGGCGAGACCAAGGGCAAGGAGGTGGAGATTGATGCCATCTTAGCCCTCAACCCGGAGCTTGCAGTCGGCCCCAGGCATCACACGCCACACCTACAGCCGATGCCCAACAAATTAGCCAGGGTAAGACATTCCTTTTATTAAAAATAGGTTTATACTAGCGGTAATTCATGTTTCCGGCAATAATGTTTAGCAAACATTTTCATACTGCTTGCGTTAGTGACACTGTTAGTAACAGCTCTTTGGAAATGATGTGCTCCTAGTATCCACTGCAAAAAGTGCAACTTGAAACTTTTCGTCAAGCGTGGTCGATGTAATCAATGTTAATCAATCATGACTAGCTAAGGATAATGATGAGCTTGAGCTCTTGAGTTGAGACTCATCCCAAGCATATGATGTTAGCCTTTTTTCATTAGACACGCATACCGTGTGATTTAGTTAAATGCTTGAATTAGCTTTGTAACTAATACAAATCACATGAGTAGAAACAACAAAATGATTTCATTCATTCGCACACCCATACCATCTACTAATGATTATGTTATAATCACATTACATCATGACTGTTTTGAAATTAATATTAACAATGAGTACGTTGGGTCTAGCTGTAGGTAATGCAGGGACGTGGCAGCCTTGCTTTCATTACAGTTTAATTTATTTTAGCGGCGTTAACACTATTATAAACTTCAGTGCAATAAATTCTAGCGGTTAAGGTCTGCTCATATTGTTTGGCACGATCGCAACCGCGATCTAAATTGCAACACTCAACTTAGAAATAACATTTCTTTGCTGTCTTAACTGAATCAGTGAAATTGTGTTTTGGATTAAAAAACAAAGAGGAAGTTCTCATATTGTTTGCTGAAATATTCAAAAGTGTACTTTACACATCGGACTCCATTCAATAGGTTACACACCAGTGTAAAGCGTTATAGAAACGCGACGTGCAAAAATTGCGATGTGAGCAGACCTTTAAGCATTTCCTCACGGCAACAACAAAGGTCAAATCGACCTAATTTTTGCTGAAAGCCTGCAGTCGCCATTTGCTTGCTTTCGCCTACAGTTTGCGCCTCTAATCGATTGTTAACTTTAGCGATAAAGCTAAATGAAAGCTTTAGTTAGTGTTATCGATTAGTAAGGGCGTCCGAATCGCGTACCAAGCCGCGATCACTCTCATTGTTTGGGTTGTGGAGAACAGTTGCTAATAGACGCTACACGCCACAGTTGTGCTGACATATCCGTGTAAGGCGAATGTGTTCTCTGCCCATGACGCCACGACACCTGTCCTATCTAATTATTGACATTTTCATTATGAACTTTTCTAAATCGCTAATTTAGCGAATCCGGCTTTTGTTGGGTGTGTAGTGTTGCATATTAAACGAAATCTTATCAATGCGTGACAAAAATTGCATCGGTGTTACGCCTGTCGCACAATCGCCGGGGAAAATGTAGAAATGTTCCCATATATCTACAGTTGGCAGGTGACTATTTGCAGCTAGCTCCATAACGATCACAGCTTGACGATTTTTTTTGTGAGATGCACTGTTTCCGTGGCGACGGAGGTTTGTTGAAGCACGCCGCTGTTCAATCATATTCATGTTACCGCTAGAAACACTATTTAGTCATGAATGGGTAAACACAACAGCGTTAGTTAGGTGACATGTATCTAGATAATATCGATGTTTATGAAAACACCGGCTGATGGTCGCGTGCTAAGTAGTGGCCGGCTCTTGGTCCCACGATGATTGATGGTTAGAAGTACAGACGACCTTCCAACGTGTATAGGTACGTTTGACGCACGCCGGACACTGGTCGCATCGATTTTCCATACAGCCGTGCAAGCATTTCAGTTTCACTTTCAACTCGAACCTAGTCCATTAGGGACGCACATCGTTTGTGACTTGTTTATAAAAATGACGCAGGCGGAGGGCGAAGCGCCAGACCGTTCAGTAAGTTGTTGCACCGTGTTTTGTCATGTATCATTGGCACGTGTATGTTTGACATGGCCGCAAAGGACCCGTCTGGCTCGTCGTCGGACGACGGCGGCTTCTTGCGGGAGAGCGCCGAGGGAGATGGAGCCGCAGACTCCGGACACACGCTGCCCGTGCGCAACTCACGATCGGTACAGTTTACGCACTTACTAAAGCATCAATCGCACGACGGAGCCTGGCGCACACGGACCTCGTGCTGCGCTGCCTGGCCCGATATCACCTTATTTTTTATTTTCACACTTTTTTCGATTACGTTGCTCCACGATCTATGATTTGCACACGAACGGCTTGTTATGGTGTTTTGTTTGACTGTAATGGATTGTGCTTTTGTCACGCCTGTTATAACCCAGTCGACAATGCGATACGGTTTGCGCAGCGGCTTTGGCGTAACAAAAACTCTGTCCAATTATTTATTGTAATGTACTAGTAGTTGTATAATGTCGGTGTACTGTATATTTGTTGCACTCATTCATTGGACTATTGGTTGACTTGATTTGTAAAAAGTTTAAATAAGATTTCGATTTGAGTGGCAGAAATAAGTTATTTATGTCTCATTTATCAGGTGTTTACAGTAAGTCTAATTTGGTCATCATTAATGACATCAGTTGATGATTCATCTTCCCACGCCGCTGCCACTCTGACTCTTGTCTTATCGGCTTTTAACGGAAATTTTCTTACGACCAATTGCATTCGCCTGTTTCGGCGTAATTGTATCAGCTTAAGCTTTTTGATTTTTATATTGAGCATTATTATGAATACTAAATGGTTTGAACTTACGAAACCTGATCTTAATTTGGAGGTTTGAATGTGTCACCATAATGTGTGAGAGTGACTTACCATAATTTGTGTGATCAGTGAAAAAAAATTGTTATCCATTGACAAAGAACAATTTTAGGGAGATATTACTAAAGGTTGTTATATGACTTTAATAATAATGATCTCACTGCACGGCACAAAAAGGTATTAACAAAACTAGTGCGCATTAAGTATGTTAGCAATTTTCCACGTGCACTTTTATGATTGACAATGGTTGAAGGACAAATTAATAGATGTCCACATAACACAATTGGCATTGAAGAAAGTAGAAGGTCTAAGGTAACTGTAAAGGCTTGTGAAGAGAATACAAAATGGCCGTGACTATTATCTACCGATTGATTTTTATGTAGATTATGCTAATAATGAGTTGCACTGTCTGACGACAAGTACCGAATAGTATGACTTTTTGAATTCTAATGTGTTTGATCAAATGACTTCTTATTTAAAAAGATCTAGTCATAAACTAACAAAAAGTGTTTAAAGATAAATAGATAAAAAATACAAAACATGGGTTTAAACCTTAAACGCTTATAAGAAACCTATATCATGTGCTAACCTATCAGTTTCAGAATTTGGAAAATACATAAATATTACAATCAAAATAAGTACTAGCGAGTATTTAATAAATCTTCAAAGGTACTATAACAGAGAGTAAACGGCAATTAATGTATAAAACTACACACAAAGCTAAGAGTAGATACACGTGTAAACATTAATATTATTGTTTCCTATAATTTGTAACAGACGTCCCGTTGTTTGTTTTATCTTGAACCTAGATACACATAACACGGGATATGATGAACGGGATTTTCTATATAATCCTACTTTATATTCCTCCTGAAAGACATTCCAATCAATTTGTTTAATCTTAGAACGTAGTCACGATTGTTTTTCGCTGTTAGCGTACGCAATATGCATCCATGTAAACTAATTAATTGTACGCCAAAATACTTTGAATTGGTTAATACAATTTTCTTTTCATGAACCTTTGCTAGTTGGAGATATGTGAATGTGATTTTTCTTTAAGATTCTCTGGCAATGTCTTCTTATTTCGAATTAATAAAGCTCTCGTGAATCCTACTAGGTACTTGCGGTAATACATGTTACCTATAATATTGGTACATTCATTAATATGTTATCAGTGAGAAGCGCATTGTGTTCAGATAAGATATCAGTGTTCCGGTACATAAATATGTGACGTCAGGGACTTTCTTGTAGATTGAATAGATTTATTGATATTGAAGTTATAACATGAAGATTAAAAATATATTTGGATGTGTATTATGTTGGTTGAATAAATATTGGGCGCCTTTTCTCTTAACAGTGTTTTTTGTAATTTATGACGTCAATCTTGTATCATATCCAACTGAATGCCCTAAATCCTAAAAGATAAAAGCGGGACTGTTTATGTCTACCTAAAGGTTAATCAATACTAAAGTTGGCCAAAGAACCATGGAACAGTATTATATTTCTCAGAAGTTCACAGGGAATGTTTGTGAATATCTTATAACTTAGGAAGTCGTTAAATTATCTAAATGTGCTTTCTTGTCGTTGTTGTTGTTTTTGTTGGAAATTAGAGATACATTCACAAAAGAAAAACGTAAATGGTAATGTAACAAGCTTTAGGAAGATCACTTGAATTGTTTTCTACTGGAAAAATCTATGGGAACATGTAGAATTGTAGATGTAGAATCATTGACAAATATTTGAAATGAAATCTCTTTTGTAGAAACGTTTCTCCGAGTTTAAATAAAACCCGGTTCCAGTTTCCATCGGCGTATTTTTCACTTAACACTTAAATGATTTAGTGGTGTACCGTCGTCTGGGAAATTGCCCGTGCGGGACTCAGTCCACTGGAAGAGATTACAGTCCTGGAGTTGGGCGGTAGTACGCCATTCATTGCCTCGCCGCCCGACCGTGATAAATTACCTTCCGCTAATTGCTTCTGAAATGGATATACCTATTTTATATATTTTAAATTGGTCTAGTATTTAGTTGTTTTCCCTTTTTCAAATTGCGTCAGAATGAGGTTTGTTTTGTACATTTTATAGTGAAAAACTCACAGTTCCCATTAAATCATTTCGTAGAACTAGCAGTCTTTGTCCATACACTAAGTCATATTTCTTTGAAATTGAACTCGTAAATAAGAGCAAATAAGACACAAATCTGCAGAGCAGTCAGATAAACAGGAAGAGCGCCATCAAAGTGGATTTATACTGCATTTCGCAAAGGAAATGTACGTCAGGTGCCGTGAATAAGGAAGTACGGAGTAACGTACGTACCATTGGCCTGGTTACATTTCTAGGTTCGGTTGGGTGTGCCACGATAAAAATGTCCTGTCAGTGTAGATAAAACCTTACACGAACCTCGTGGGCTTACAAAATAACGTTATAGAATGAATTTTATGTACTATAGACGAAATTCGTAAGATGTGAAAGAATTTTAAGTGGTGATGATAAAACACTTCGAGAAAAAGCCAAACGAGAACTATTTTGAGGCTTTTCTAATATGATTAGGATTCATGTATTCCATGAATAATATTGGAATGGTTTAATATACACAATAAAGTAAACATGCTGAACCAAATTCAAACCAATTATAAATGTAATATCAATATTTCAATAGCCTCAAACTAAAGATGTTTTCGCTGTATCATCCACATCATATTAGCCATTTTGTATTCCTTTTCAAGTAATGGTGTTAGTTGATTTAAGGCGGTGGTTGAAATCGGAGTGTTACGAAACTCCTCGATGCAAAACTCGGTTAGTAGGCTACGGATTTGCATTAATTAAGGGAAGTTAAACCTTATTACTCGATGAAGAAAGATGGAAATATCGGTAATGTATTCTGACCACTGACAAATTAGTAAAGTTTGTAAAAATACCATACATTATGGTGATATTTGTATGATGGGATAGAAAATAGAACCTGTATGTTTATACGAAACTCATTTGTATGTCATACGGAAGTAAAAAGCAGTAATTATGTCAACTCTGTATTGTTGTTCGGTATTATTTTTTCTGGGCCACGTTATCGAACCAAGAATCGCAGTTCAATCTAATTTTCCATCGATATTCGATTTTTGTAGCTACATTGTAAACCACCGAAGTTTTAAAATATCATTTATATAAGTGTCAGCGGTTAACTTAGAAACGCTGACCAACCGCTCTTGTGATCGTATTAGATTACGGGTAGCACAAGAGATTCTTTAGTGCCTTAGAGAACACTTCAAGCTGTCGGGTCTTGACGATTTTAGTACCATAAAATACAGACTCTAAAAAAGTAGCTGACCAACAATATTCTACTAAATCTATAAAAGAAAAATTTGCAGCATTGAGGAACTTCAAGCGCGCTGCCGACCTTCTAGGTTGACGTTTCTGACGATTATGTTGACTTTAGTATTGGGAATGGTTTTATGTAGTTTCTAGTCATCAAAAAGTCCAATGAGATACTAGTACTTAATCTATAGTATTACTCAAGAAAGTATCGGTGTAAAGGGTCTTATTAAAAAATAATAATAAACTAGTGCGCCTTACCATCAACGATTGCATCACTGCTTACCATCAGGTGGGATCGCAGTCAAGCACTAGTTTATGGCAAGTAAAAAATAATAATAATAATAGAAACAATTTGTCCTATATTTTTACTTCGCTGTCACAATGAACGTTGCGAGATGGAAACGAATTACAGAATAACCCGCATCAACGATTTGCCGGATTACGAAAGGCTTTTTCGAAAGCCATTTTTGTTTTTGTACTGCCAAATGAAAATTTTACCAGTATATACGGGTATAGATACAGCCGTAGGCATAGACTTTCTTAAGTCAGTCCTTTTTGGTGTTTATTGTGAAGCTTTTGTGTAGTTTGGAATGGATTGTTATTTTTTTATTTATTTTTTTGATAGAGTTTTACAATTTAAGTGGTCTGGATAATTACAAAGGAGGTTATTGTCTTTTTCTTTTTATAATGTGAATATTTTCTCATATTATCTCGCACTCTTCAATCGAGGGGTTTAAGAATACTTTTGTAAATATAGTTGTTACTGTACTTTTATCCCTATCCTGCAGCTTTTTATTATTATTTTGCAAGTGAAATCAGTTATTTCGGAAGATATTAATGAAGTTTTTCTGTTTTAGGACATGACGCGACAATCAATTCCGGTGGCGACAAAAGGTAAGTTCTTTATCTTTTACCAATTATGTAATTAGGAAATCAGTAATGGAACATTTTATCTGCGACGAACCAGAATAACATTGTTTTTTACCAAATTTTTTAAATGATCAGTGATGTCAGCACATTCCTCATGTTGCAAGCTTTATTAATGTAAGACAAATGCATTGGTAAAGTGCGACGTCTTTGGATTTTTTATACGAGCCACCCCGATGATATAGCGTTCGTGTAGTATTCTTTCTAACTTCGTTATTTTTGTATTTTCGGAACTTCTCTACTATATCTAAAACTTCTATTCTGAAATGGAAATCAGGCAATGTATTTTGTACCTATTCCAGAACTGAATTTAAATTAGACTCGAATCTTAAAATTACCGGGTAACTTCTTATAATTCTGCCAACATACCTAAAACTTGATCATAACAACATTATTTTGTAAGTAACACACTCGAGTTAATTTGCGCACCTTCACCAAAACGACTAACGCAACTTGTTTATATTTAGTCATACAACAGTTCGGTCTCCATGAATCATACTGCAACATTAATACACACATACAAACAATTCCTTGTATTATAATCGTCTCTAATATGAACCACGTGTTTACCTTACAATGTTTAAATTGTAAGGAAAGATTCCTTTGTACCAAAAATTTTTGAAACGGAAATTAGTTATCATCGATTCATATTTTGTTTATAATATTAATTTTATTATTCTATAGTCAAGGTTATAACACAATAACTGTAATTAATAAAAATATTACCGAACAAGGATTCCCAAAAACCGCCTAAAATGACATCACTTTTGCGTAAACCTCCATTTACAGTATTGTAAGTTTGTAACTGGCATGAAATAAAAAATAATGTCTCGAAGTAAAGACGTTCTAATGAGGCGACGTTGCCCTAACGGTCGGTCTCAATCTTAATAGCGATCTTGAACCGGCATGACGTGTGTCTCGCTACTATACAACATATAATTCAGTTCCATTTTAGCTGATGATTCGTATTGTTCGCGATTTTCTTTGTAGCTACTGGTTGATGGATTTTGGTATACTTTTGGACCAAGTTTTGTCATTTTCTTGCTATTGCGATTTTGTTGCGGTTATAATATTTTGTTCGTTTCCGTTTTGGCTGTTTTTGAAAAGGCTTTTGGGCAGAATATTTCGTGTACCTGGGACCTAAAATTGTCGTCATAATTTTGCATAAACTGATCATTTATCAACGTTATAAGTCTACAAATATTGGTAATGCATTGCAACGAGGGCAGCACAACGGCTTCGCTCACATCACGCGATGATTCATTAGGTCGTTATCTATTGCATTACGTTAACCCAGAGAATGCCTGACTGTCGTACTATCGTCTAAGTAATATGCTGCAGTTTACAACCCACAAATTACATCCTTTGTAGTAATTTTATCTCACTTAGGAATATTTATTTTCACAACTGAGGATTAGGAAATAACTCAACTCTAATTATTTAACCCGTTATTGGATACCCCAACAAAACCTAAAAATGCGTCGTATAATGAGGAATAACTTAAGAGCAATATCAGGTACTAATATTGAAAATGCTTTGGAGTATTCAGTTTCAGAGGATTTTGTAAAAACTTGAAGCAGATTTTAGATTTTCGTGATTATGAACTTTATTTTCATCTTAGTTACTATTATTCTTGGTCATTGACTTCTCATAGAGAACTATATGTGTTTTAGGGTCAGGAGAGTTTTAGCCTAACATTCTTCCAGTAATATAAATGTAAAAGAGAATAAACTGAAGTTTACTATCACACATCCTTATATCGTTATAGAGTGAGACAACGTTTGATTGTTGTGCATGAGCGTCGCTGCGTCTGGCTGGCGAGTTCAACGGTCGCGGGTCATTTGTTGTTCTGACAGGTGGGGCACGCGAAATCATTGTCACTCACATAGATTTCGTACATAATATTCCCTTTGTACTTGGAAATGGACTGACATACAGATCTATATCAACTAATGTTGCCGTTTAACTACACGGCAATACGACACATGGCACTGAAACCTTTTAAGGCAATAATGTATCGATGAAATTTAATTAGTGCCGTCATCACCAGTCGTAATATAATCACTGTCGAACGTATTTTCAGGAAGGATTCATCATTCATAATCCTCCTAAGTTTGGTAGGTGGTGTGAGGACTGCAACACCATCTTGTTCCAAAGAGCTCAGTTTAAAGATACCCGGTTTGCCTTATCAATAGAGAGTACCGTTCCTATCTCTAGCAAAATACGAGTTATTGTGTTAATAATGCGTAGTGCATTTATTGTACATTTTTCGTCTGGTCACGTAGGACTCCATGAATTCTTTTAGTACATAAATCCATTGCCTAATGTACACAAGCCTGGAAGGCATAGATAGAAAAGTACCCAATCAGGGCACATACTAAACCCCCATGCGCTTCCCAAGCTTATCTCTATTTATGGGCTACAGACTCTAAGCCTTGGCTTTATTGCATTGCATTCTTGCGATTTATGGGTTCCAATCCCAGGAGACGCTGGTTGGCTAGCCAACTTGAAAAAAACATCAGGAGAAAAACTCTGTTACAATAAACTTTTCTTTTATCTTTTAATAGCGTGCTCTTTCTTACAAATGCCTGAAAATGTATTCCAAATTCATTACAGGAATTATAATCTTTTGTGTATTAAACGAAACATCTTGTTTTAATGATATTCAGTTGATACCAGCTTGTTCAAACTGTTCAAAGTATGGTACGCGATGAATATACAATAATGCACACAAATCTATCGATTCACCCTAGTTGTTAAATCTATGCTAAATTGCTAATATTACAAAGAGGTATTTTAAGTTTGTAAGTATGTATGTAGGGGGTAATCTGGGAACCGCTGGTTGGATTTCCAAAATTCATTCACTGATAGATAGCTGCAATATTCCTGAGTGCTTTGAAACATTACGCTACGATCAAATGAAGCCGAGCAGCGGTTGAAATCGCGCGAGAGTAGCTAGCTAATTATCAGTCAAAACGTTGCTGCCACTGTCGCCCCAGACTCTTGTAGACTGATCTCACAAGCTAATATAACATTTACATATCACAATAAACAACCAAACGAAACGATAATAATAATATTTACATTATCTAATTCCCTAATCTAATATAATTTCAGTATGTTTATCAATATTTGCCTAAATGTCTGTTTCTGTGTCGTTGAACTCGTATAACCTGCGTCTGCGCATTTGTTCTTTTTTAATCATTTTGGAGGTTATTTTACCTGACTATTTCTATTTGCATTATGGTCATTTTGTATTTACTTCTTTAAAGCAATGCAGAGCATTTCAATGTTTTTGAATATGATATTTATTCTGTGTATTTATTATTTGGCAGGCAGTTTGAACCCACATAAACAGTTTAATGAATTTTGCCGGATTGTAAATAATAATAGAGTCTGTATACTTGGATAGATTCCAGTGTATTTTTTATTGATGACGGCTCCAGCTGTTTGATAAGTAAAATGCGTATTGCTTTATCTTGATCCACTTTGATATTGAAAATTATTCCAAATATTACACATCTTATCAGTACATTTGTAAACCAATCACAAAAATGGTCTTTAATGTTTTTACACTTTTCGCTTATCTATTTAGGTCTATGCTTATCATTAACCAGGCTTTCATTATACAATTTACTGACCAAAGTTTATTGATTCTATGATTGAAAAGGGTGACTGACTATGGTGTCTTATTTTTGTTCCTAAAAGTTTGTATTCCAGTCTTGCAAATTCACTTGTTTCTACGAGGGGTTGTAATAACCCTCAGGTCATGTTCGTTTTGTGCTTAAAATGCTTCCTTCGTCGTTCCCGCCTCCAGCCTCCCGCGTTTTCCGTAATTTAATTGCTGAATTTAGATGGTTGACTGTACGGAGACTTGATTGTTAAGTTTATATACAGTTTTTGATAGATACAAAATTATTAATTTCTTCCTAAAATATAACTTTTTATGTTTTAATAATAATTGAATTTTGAATAAATTATCTCCTTGCGTTGACTCATTTTTGACACACAAACGTGATTTAATTTCATAAGTAATGTATCCTGACCTACCTTTACTACCTGTGAAGTTTGCCACAGCATAAAATATTAAGTTCGTTGACCGTCTAATAATCATTTAGAATTGGTCACCCCGATCGCGTGCCAGCTCACATACCCCTGAGTTGCGTCAATTGATTGCGCAAGATTTGTTTGGCAGCCATCCTGATCTGAAATGTCCCAATTCAATGTCCTACTTGAGTTTTAATTTCAGATTTCATTGTATTACTTCGGCTCCCACAACTATTTAAATAAAATAATTTAATTTTCTACTACGAGCGTGGAGCTATGTAAAATGAGACGAATGGATTGCCAATTATCTTTACAACCCACTAGTTGCTTCTAAGGTTTGCTCAATAAACTCCACAATAGCTCAGTAAATTAATAACATTTGGTCTTTCTACCTCGGGAAAGCGAAATATGATTTTCTTCTCAGTACCGTGTTATTTTGTTAGAGAGTACTTAGCTTTCTATATTGGATTATTACCAGCGACCATAATATATCATCAATAAGTATTGTCGTCTATAGCGTAACGTCTATAGCGTGACGTCTATAGCGTATAGACTATCTGTTCAGCTTTCTGGGGATACAGAGCAGAGAAAAAAGCCTGAACTTTAATATTAAATCTGAGTGAGGAAATAGAACATAGTCTGCAGGTATAGATCTAAATGGATTACTTATACAAGGTTGCTGATTCATTGCAAGGTTTATATCCCAGATTGAGGTAATTTACCTTTTAATCTAATTCAATTAGCACATCGCGATACAGGTAGGGTCATTGTCAAAACGTTACCGCACTTGACATTGTGCTCCCGCGAAGGTCGTTAGTGTAATTGTAACGCGTTGTTGACCGACTTTGTGAACCAGCCTCGTAATCATGCAGATTGGATCATTCTCATTCAGCTCCGATACAAGTATGCCATTAAAAACT